GTCTTCATTTGCATGCTGTGATTATTAGACTCGTTATATAAATTAACCCCACTGTATGTTGCCTACCCCATCGTCAGAAAATCTCCGCCATTGGACTAGCCATTATTTATGAAGAAGACGCCATCCAGTACTAGTTTAATAGCTTATCTTATACACAGCGCTCAAAGCCCGAAGCAATATAGTGCTCGTATAAGAAATTAATCTTAAATGGCAGCGGAGATATTAAAATGAAATGTGTTTGAAATGTTTTAAAAAGTTCCATTTGCAAACGAGAATTGGTATATACATACTGTAGCAAAATGGCTGCAATTACTTATCTGATTTATGATTATTAGATGGTTGCGTTTAATGCTAGAACTAGTTGTTCTAGCTAGGCCGTTTTCGTTTAAACGGTCAAACCGGTTGTTCCGCATAAACGAACAGGCCCTTAACCAATCTCGATTATTTTTATGATAAATTGTCTTACATCAGGTGAAATTTACGATAAGAAAATATATTTAAGTTAATTAATAGAATCTACAACTAACTCGGAGCTGTGACTATAAAATCTCCAACCCGACGGGTACATTTTTTTAAGTTGTTGATACTGATCGTCTTCCGTTTATATGTTAACATGGGCAAATCAGAATCAGTCAAAGATTCTGCAGCTTACGGCCCCAAATGAACAACACTCCTTCAATCTCAGTACTGACTTCAGGCAGGACACTTCGACAACGAGTTAACGGCAAATTTAAGAGAAATTAATTTCAGTACCTTTAATCCCGTATCAAAGATGAAATCTGATGAGATTGAAGCAAGGTTGAACTTATTCTGTTATTTCGAAATAAACTTGAATGTTTCTATCTTTTATGCTGAGTAAGATACGTTAGCGATAAGGAAAATGAGAGGTAAACATACCATTTTTATCATTCTAGCTTACCGTTAGTACCATCGGCTACCTGCTCTACAGTTAATGTACTGCAGTCGACGCCCTATTTTAAGTAATGGCTTATTCTCAAAGGAAGAATATCGTGCCACATCAGGATATTCCCTTAAAGTTTACGAAGTGTAAGTTGAACATTGTAACCTAGTGGGCGGGATCTTCCTCCCCGATTCCTGTAGATACGGTTTGCAATTATCCGAGCACTTTTAAGCCTCGTCACCTTTGATCTTCAAAACTCTCCCCTCCTATGTCCGTGGAGAAAATTGGGGGTCAGGGGTAAATTTGATTTACTCTGCCGGGAGGTCATGCTGTGAGGAATCAGTGCCAGAGAGTTTGACCAAACGATGCATTCAGAGTGTTCAAAGATATGTCGGAAGAAATATGTGACAGCAAAGATATAACCAACAATTACAAACACACCGTATACCATAACACGGTGAAATGTGGCCAATATCTATTAACAATTGGCAGGCGTTAAGGATAGAGACACAGGTTTTCACACACGGCATGCATGTTTGGACGAAGGTTTCGCGCACCACAATGTATGCCTGTACTAACGTTTCGCGCACTGCTATGCCTGCCATGATAGACACAGGTTTCGCGCACCACAATGTATGTCTAGACAAAGGTTTCGCGCACCACAATGTATGCCTGGACTAAGGTTTCGCGCACTGCTATGCATGTCATGATAGACAAAGGTTTCGTGCACTGCAATCATGTTTGGACGATGGTTACGCACACCGTATACAAGAACAAAAGTTTTCGGGCATCACAATGCATGTATGAATGGGCGCAGGATTCACGTGCGGAAATTCATGTATTCATATATGGACGAAGATTATCGTGACGGCAAATATGGACAAAAGTTTGACGCAATGCCCTGTATGTTTGGAAAAAAAGACAAAGATTGCCATGCATGTATAGGCGACGCTTTGCGTGCGGCGATGCATATCTGAAAGAAGTTTTCGAGCACCGCAATACATGAATGAAACCCGCGACGGTCAACGATCTGGATAGGGTGTCGCACACACATCTATACATGTGCCCAATCCCTTGTTTCACGAATGTTAATTCCTTAAATGAAGATTTTATATACGAAAGTATTGCTGAAGATTTCATTTTTTGTGTATCAATGCTTTCCTTTTGCAAATACGGAACGACTGTGAAACAGTGTCCATAGGACGTCTTCTGATTCACCAAGTTAGCAATGGTCAGCCAGAGAAAATGGACCAATTTGTTTCGAGAATGTCTTGCCGATATATCTTTTTTGATTCTGTCGGTAATTAGTAAAGGGGACGCGAATTAAGTTAGTGTAATCTATCAGTACTGAACTGATTTGAACAGGAAGAGGGAGCCAACTCAGACATTGACCTTGGGCTCCCCTCTGGTACTGAAGTGTTTAATGAGGTACCCCTCCGACACAATATCTAACGCGGCCATCCCCTAATCCCTATCGCTTCCATGGTGATTGAGGTTAGTCCCTTTATTACCTTTTTTTTCTCTCTCAAATTGAATCCAATATACTTATGATGAATGTCTTTTAGGAACTATTTTATATCATTTTATGGATCAAAGTTTTAGAGGAATTAGGCTCCGGATCGTAAATAAAAAATGTATATTTTTTTCAGGAGTGGCCTCCCTTCTCTTAGACTGGCCGATCGCTGGACTGTAGTGTTTCTGCTTGAATTATTTGGTGCAGGAACAGCTGAGTTATCTTTATGGTTAAAATACCGGCTAAATACTACTTTTTCCTTGACCTACTGACAAGTGTAGCGAAACGGGCGTTCACCCGGATCCAACGTACTATCCAAATTGGCTCGCCAACTACGGACAGGCAAGCTGTGCCGCGATCTATTGAGCGTTTGACAATGGAGCAGAGGTTGGAGACTTGCGTTCCTTACCTGGCTTTAAATACATTATCCAAACAATGTTTTGTAGGGTTTTATTGACATTTCAGCAGAATTGTAAACAATATTTGTGTATGTGTCTAAAACAAATATCGTAACAGCTTATAATAATGACTGTCGTCGTACATGGAAATATGGCGGAATATGTGTATATTTGGGCATCGTTGGGCAAGTATACATGTGACTGTCATGTCTAAAAAGTTCGAACAACCCTACTCAAAGTATATTACGCTATATACATCTTAATATCGATACATCTTAATATCGATATTGTCTAAAATTCTATATCTGTTCTTGAGACAAGATAAGCACGTGGATAAACACTTTATACCCAGACACGCCTCTTTTGCGTGTTAGATGAAATTTAAAACATATTTATATATAAGTAATGTCATTATGGACTAATCGTAACCAAACTAGTTCAGTTTATAGTTATTTCATCTGCAATAGTGTACTAAACGGATTTGACTCAAATATTACCATTTTTGTTTTAGATACATATAAATCATCTCCTTGTATAACTTCAGTTTTATACGTTATAAAATGTCACACACTTCCTTTTAAGCAATGTTCGGTACCGGAAGTGAAGGGATAAAAAGAGGAGGAAGAATGATTATATTTGCATTAACTCATTCACCCCTCTATTTCGGCAATACACTATGATATCCTTTGATTTGGAGCAGTCCAAATACAGCAACAGGTGTCAGTGTGATAAAAATTCAAACATGCAAGTTCAGGAGCGCCAACACCAAGTATTCCGGAAATGTAGACTTTATCTGTTTCGGATGACTAGGCCAACCATTACTAGAACTAAAATTGAATAAGATGATAAATGAATAACGAAACAATTATTCATGTCCTATTTCAATATCCCTAACTAGACGACAGATATAAAAAGAATGGTAAGGAAAGTAGTATAGCGAAGAAAAATAAATAAAAAGCGATTTAATTAAGCATCGACATTTTTTTATTTTTATATTTGTTTTATACGTCTCTGTCCAGGTGATATATATCTATATATATATATAATATATATTACCAATACTATCGTCGTTTTGAAAATTAATGATAACATTTCTCTAAGTAAGACCCGCACGCATATATATTAATCCTGTTAGCACGGATTTACAGCTAATGTCATTCCGTACATTTAGTACTCAAACTATTTACAATTTTCACATATAAATGAACCGTGTGTTACTTGCACTTTAAAATGAAAAACTGCCAATATATATGTATTGATATCAAGTTATTTTTTTGTACACATTTTTTTATTCTGTTCATAATGACATTGAGATCGTTGATAACAATTAACACCAGGGCCGACGGTCGTTCTTTGATAAATTTTATGAATACGACGAGTACATATGTTTAAAAAAATATTATGATCATTGAAATATGAAGATAGTCCGCACGATTTTCTATTATAATATTTATCTAGAGCTAAAATAATTACTTCGACCTTTGTAACCTTTTATGTAAAGAGTACATTTTTTATCAGTTATTTTGTGAAGAATAGGTTAAGTTTTTAAATGTGATCCAATCTTTTTTGTTGGAGTGAAATATGTCACCTAGTTAGCTTAACATTGTAATAAACCTAATTTGTTCTTCCTTGTCGCCCCTAGTCCGGAGTAGATGGTGTAGTTTGGGATGTTATCGTGTCCAACTTGTCAATATATACATACTAATAAGGACTAATTACTCAATCTAGTGTCTCCATGATGTACCTGATGATAAACTCCCTTTGATGTCCGGGTTTAACCGACGCGTGAAAGGTGTGATGCCACTGTCAGTCATTCCGAAATGGGCGGGGCTTACCATATCCCTGCACCAGACATCGGGCCGAACACGCCGGTATGTTTTGATTAAAGTTATGGACATTATACTGAAATATTGAAACCTTCTGACCATACTTTAACCGATAAAACTAATTATTGGGTAAAACTAACACTCGACATCCATATTTATGTGTGTATAATCAGATTTAACACAGAACTATTTTTATCGCGGATGACGCGCACCTGCCGGTCATCAGTAAGTGTGCGCGAGTCGCATGGCGGTTGTCTAAGTGTACACATAGAATTGAATACAGGCATGTTGTGAATTGGAAATGATGTTATTACTCGGAATTATTGCTATTTTGGATTAATTCGAAGGTTGGTATTGATTTGTTTTATCGGTTTTATATGGAATTTATCTGTTTCCTTTTTTTCGACTGCCAGGTAATTTCATAAGCGTTGGATGTGTAAATATACGACGATAGCAGTGGAACATAGGGCATGTATGACTGTCGTTGATAAGCGAGAGCATAGAGACCCCGGAATGGGGACATGTCCGCTCTCTATACTTAACCCTGGGGACAGCTTAAACCCCATGAACTCCCGTATGCGGTCGGGCAAGCGATGAATAACTGTCGGGGACTCCACTAGGAAGTCAACACGGATTTTTAAACCTGTGGTCAGTTTTTTAATGCACTGTGTATTGGAATATAAAGTGTGATCGTGTGTATTCTAGCTCCCTGTTTACGATATCAGCTGATTGCGGTTTTGTGTCATTTTTCACTCGGATAAGACAGGTAACAGGACTCGCAGTGGTGACATTGTATATACAGGTTTGATTTATATAATAATCTCTGTTTTATAATTCAAGAACTGAACCGTTGTTATTTTTTGATAATTTTGCATCCTAGTTTCTGTTATATGCGAAATTGAAGTAGAGATTGAGATTGAAAAGAATTTAGTGTGTAGATTTGTTTTGCATATTCATATCTACTTCAACCCTACTTGTCCATTTTTTAACAAATTACTCATATATTACGTACACGGTATAAATATTTTCTTGATTTACTAATCAGCTATCATAGTTGTCTAATATATATTCATATGGGTCAAAGACGTAATATAGACGGTAAAATCCCATATAACACTGGATCCAAATGGAGGTACGTCCGTAGGATACGAATTACTTAAAATATTATATGGGGCAAAGAAGTAATTCCAACAGTGTGGACAAGTTTAGGTTGTCAAATTTTCGGAGCGATCCGCTCCTTTTTCAAGACACAGTGAAACAGAACAGTTACATGTATATTCATATATATATATGTATATGTATATTCATATATATATGTTGATCAGTGATCAGTTATATGTATATAGTCCGTCTTAGGTACATTAAATCACTTCACAAGAACACATAAAATATTATGTATGTCTGGTTTTATGATCCTGGAAAACCTAAGCTTTTTGTAGCTTGCATAATGTCATGAATACTTTTTTCAACAGTAGTAATTTATATGCAACAATGTGCTTAACATGTATATTTATACATTTTGTTTTAGTTCCATGGCCCTCTCTGTTATAGTTTATCTTGGCGTGATAATGTTGACGTAAGATCAAATAAAAGCATATCAGGACTGCGATATGTATATGTAGATTTGCTATTAAAGTACGAGCCTGTTCGATAGCGAGATACGAGCCTTGTTGGAGCAAATCACATGTTTATTTTCTCAGTAAGAACAGCTGAAGGGATCAATCTGGTATTTCAACACACTGTGATAACAAACAAAATTTAAATTCTTTTTTTAAGTTTTTGTTCCTTTTGGAATTTTTATTAACACTTCAAGTAGAATATGGTAAATAGTAATTCATGCTATCTTATTAGAGATCGTAAAGGAAGTATGGTACATCTAATGTGATAGAACAGGAAATTTGCTTCATATTAAAAATGGTCCCTATCTGACACACTGATCTATTATTGCTCTGATCATAAAGCTAGGTTTTATATATAACAGCCTGTTGCACCAGGTTGGACTGCAGTGGCATGGTGTACATGCGTTCTTCATACAAACACCTTCCTGTCTGATCAGGCCCAAAATTACCTTAGGCATGTTTTATAGTAATCATCTATAAAAAAATAGTTTAAAATCCCAAATGTCTTCTTTTTTTAAATAAAATGTAATTTCGGCAAATTATGATATCTGGTCTATTGCAATATTTTTATTTCATTTTTAATATGATGTAATTAAGATCGAGTTAAATTACTGAAATAATTATAGTTCTACATATTTTAAGTTGGGGTCGCCAAGTTACTTCAGATTAATATACACACTGGGATATATGCACGACATGCTAGCTATTACCCAGTGATATATACCGGTATGTTCTCTATAAGCCTAAGAAAGATTTAGTAGAAATTTTATCACACCAATATGGGCGTTGTTATAACGAATTAAAAAAATGTATTACATAAATGACAAAATGTAAAATGTGCTGAATGTTTGCTGTATAGTTACTTGGTAGTTATTTCAAGAATGTCAAATTATGAATATTAATTCTGTTTATATATCATATACACGATAGCTTTATTGCTTCTTGGCCAGTGTCGACATCCTTGTCAGCTTTTGATGAGTATATGGAGGTGCTTGATAATACAAAGCTTTTATACCTGGATCAGAGTATATATAAACCTATGCGCAGTATATCACTACAGATGCTTTACACATGCAGAACGTGAAGCAGGATGGTCCCGCGCAGCACATGAATGACACATACAGGCCTGTGTGATGGCATGCCAGGGTATCGGGGTCACATTAACAAGGCCAATCATTAATGGAAAATGACTCAGTGAGTCTCACACAAGATCATTACCACTACACACACAACATTACTCAATGACGAATTAATATCAAAAATACAATCTGTCAATTGATCTTTTATTCACGAGTCTGCATGGTTTGTGTGGACTATGAAGATAGGGAGTATGCTATGGGGAGTTTTATTATAATCGGTGTCCTGATCGCTAGAGTAAACTAGTGTAATATAATGAAATGAGATGATAAAAAAAAAATGGATATGAGGTCCCCAACTTGACCTATAAAAGAATAATCCATACTTCATAAACTATTTATACTACATAGTATATAGGGGTTTCAAGGGAGTATACAGTTATAGAGGATGGATGGTGACCCCAGGGTCGGCCGAGGAGTACGCTCAGTCAACAAATGAAATCATTTTTTTTTCCAAACATTTGATAAAAGAGTTTAATGACTGTGGACTGTGTTATGCATGTATAAATCTATTGAGCTTTTAGATAGAATTAATGTATTTTAGATGTATCATTATTAATCATTAAATGACTTAATTTGTATAAAATATCAAACAGACCAGAACATTGATATATATTCCTGCTCTCGTAACAGAAGAAATTTTGTCTTAAAGCATAATTACTGCTTGGTGTGTGCAGTGAGTAGTTGGGTGGATAAAACGAAGAAATGAATTCATGGATTACACCAACATAATTCTGTTAAACCCCTAACCTGTTAATCAATAGCTTCATCTTATGTCCGCAAAATGAAATCTTTAGTAAAACTAATATCAAACTAAAAAATATATCTTGTTCATAACGAGTGTAATTAAGACCTTGTTAATGATCGATCGTTATTTTGATCGTCAACATGGCGTCCTGTTCTAGGATAGCCTGATCATGGAAATCGTGGGATGTATCTTGATGTCCTTTGTACACGCACACCAAGGAACCCGTCTGATAGAACCCATCTCTATACAGTGTAGTATCGGCTCCACACACACAGCATGTCCGATACAACACTAGGCTGGGCGATGGGGGGGGGGGGGATCACGGAAATCACCTATCACACTTGCGATTAAAAATGACTTTGTACCCTAGCACCCCTTTGAACTATGTTGGAAAAAAGGTCATATTTATGACTTCTTTAAATGCAGTTTTAGCTATTCTTCTCTAACACTTTGAACTGGAGCAGTTAATACTAGAAACATTGATTTTTATGTGAATTCACAAGGTTGACTGAAGCTAGCAACAGGTACAGCCATGGCATCGCAGTAAAGTGGCTTTCCGATTAACCAACTTCCGTGTGTTGTGTGGCCTCTTGTTGAAAGATTTCTGTTTTGAGGGGGGAAAATGGTATGCAATTTTACATTGAGTAAGTACTGGGTGCGAGAATGCAATAAATGTTCATGTGTAATTATTTGATTTATTACTTTTTGATCATGAATGTTGAAAACCCTGTGGAATCAAATCGAATACATACAAATTACTGATTAGTTTGATTCTCTACCCATTGTTGTAGATCTTGACTTTCTGACGATGGTTTTTAACATGTCAAACTAATTTGAGGCCATACAATGAAGTATCTGAAAGTTCTCTGATAAATTATTGCCTTCAAAATAGAAAGAAGTCAGCATAGTCTTTGTACAGGATGTTTTTTAAGTCATCAATGGTAGGGCGAGCACGACACAAAAGTGATTTATTAATTTATTTTCTCTCCGCTTCAGTAATGTTGAATTACAACCTGTTGTTGCATGTGAAAGTGAATGCGCAGGTTCCCGGATTTAAGATGGGTTTTCCTTGGGGTCGTGACACTTTTAGCTGGGTTTTTCTGTAGGAGGTGTAACTCCTATGGCAGACTTTTGTTTGGAGGTTGTAACACCTGGAGCAGACTATTCTGCAGGAACAAAATATTTAGTTCTTGTTCAGTCAGCTACACATAAAATATCCTTGACCTGTTTTTATGTTAAGTTTGAGTCATTATTTTCTAGATGAGAAAAACAGCATAATTTGTTAATCGAAATGATCCCCATCGCAGACTGGCATGAAAAATCATGAGATTCCTTTTATAAACTTATTTTTTTTTACATTAATAATGAAACAAGTTATTTCAACTTATATTTATCACTCTTGTTGGCCCGGATGTAAGCACGCCTAGGGTCATAATGTGGGAAAACCCATGTGGTCAAGCAGGTGACCCCATACCTTTCACGTCCGGGGAACCAAACCTCTGTCGTCGTGGTGAAAGGCAAGTGCGCTATCAACTGCACCACCAGACCACCCAAAATTCCTTGTATTATTACATGCAGACACCCTTGAAATATAACTTTTTGTACAGTGATTATTTGAAAGAAAGATCAGAGATACTGGTTTGCAATCAATATACTTTCAGAAACTCCCTCCGGTTCAAAGAAACATTGTGAAGTACTATTAATAGCCCGAGTACTAGAAACCATGGAACAATTTGGAATCCCTGCATGATATATATATTGATTGGTAGTAAATATAATACTGTAAGGTTACTGGGAACCGGAGTTTCTACAACATATATTGATTGGGATCTGTTATTACAGATGGTTTACTATGAAAATGTATGGCACATATTTGGGGTACAGTAATTATATAATGGCACCGGTACCACATTTTTTTCCATTTCACAAATTAAAACTTCTAAATGTTTGAGAATGTCACAAAGGTCTTGCAATTTTGGGAACCAAAACATTTTAATAAGTGACTTTGTTGTATACCCATGGCCAATATACCATATATGTAAAAATCCTTTTATCGGTTAAATGGTACTTGATTGCATTGCTATATTTAAAGCTATGATTCACGAATATAGAACTTAAAAAATATATCTTGATACGATCCCCAAGCTGATGTATGAGCAAATGTAAGAAGCTGTAAACAGTCATCAATATACATGTTTTGTGTTTAAATTAATTTACCAAGTATTCTGTTTTATAATTGTATATGATAGCTGTTGTATATCATAACCATGCAATAGACATGTACATGTATTAAATCTAT